ATCCACTGTATCAACAGACATTATTTCATGCACACAAGTTATTTTTTTCTTTTATTTAATTTATTAATTTTCTTATTTACCACTGCAATCCAAAAGGATGGCATGGATGGCTTACATTTCCCTCTATAGAAGAGATGCTTTTTTAAAGGAATAATTAACCTTCAGTGGCTGAGGAATAACTAAACATCATACAATAATCTATAACTGAAAGGCTCACAACTCACGCCAATTCTACTGCAAAATTTCCTGGAATAGCCACATGTAGATGGCTTTCTGAAAAACCAGCTGAACACCATACTGAAAGAAAAAGTTGCCACATACTCTCATTCATTCCATTCCCTTTCAACCTGTTATCTGCCTCTCCCAAATCAGTCAACTTTCCATGCGTTCTTTAGTTGATGGGACCAGAATCTGCCATCTCAGGGCAATTGATAATTGAAACTGTATTTCTCTCAGATAGAACAGGGATATCAAACTGCCGGTCCGCCGACGGATGCATCATGCTGAAACTGCGCCCACCCCATTGCCGGCAATGGAAAAAAAGTCACGATATGTCGTGACAAGTCACGTGACATTGTGTTGTGGCCTGTCAGCCACCAGAGACTTAGCAACCAATTCAGACGAGGAAGCACAGGAATGGGCGCCGGGCTCAGTGTCAGGGTCATCTGAAAGCTTCGAAGAAGGAATGGAGCTGTCACAGCCAGGGACAGAGGCAGAGCCTGGGTCATCAGCCCTCAGATAGAAAGGTTGAGACCTCTATGCCTTGATGCAAGTGAGTCAGGAGAGGAGGATCACATGGGGCCAGTAACTGATGCATGGGTGTGGTGGAAGCTGAGAAGAGGAGAACAGTGAGAGGCTATGGGGCGGTCTTCGGAGCAGAAGAGTCACCGCTGCTAATGTAGCCCCGCCCTCAGTTCTGCATAAAAGTCATGGGCGGAGATGAATAGGTGTGGCAGACAACTTCGTCTTTGTCTTCCGGCTGATCAGCCACTTGTATTTGGAACTTCTGACTCTTCTCCTTGGAATTTTGCCAGAGTTTTTTCTTCAGATCCTGTGGCGCTGGAAGTCAGAGCACCTTCTGAGTGTGGGTGTGTCTTATGCTAAACAATAGCCATCTTGCTTGAAGGACTTTTGGCTGCAAGCATGGCGAGACTGAGAATAACTCTGGATATTGGGAGACTCCTATAGGGGAAAAGGGAGCAAGCTCCATTGTTTGGAGGCTGTGTGAAACTGCTGGCGTTCCTGAAATAAAAGGAACGTTAGAGACTATTTGGTGTGTCTGTTTTGTTTGGAGAGCCAGGTCAGAACATGTTGCGAGTTGACACCCCTGAGATAGAAAATATCCTCTTCTGTGCACTTCTGGCAAATACAGAAATGTCTCAGTGATTAAAATGGAATACAATGACCAGTGCAGATGAAATTTATCCAAGGAGAGGAGCCAATTTATAAAGATGACCCAATACAGGAGACATCATTGCCTCATTCCTGCTCTGATGAACCCAAATGAAACTAGTTGGGAGATAAGGACAGTTCTAGCAACCCTGAAATTTACTGTTACATTAATTTTAGCATTTAGTGTCAACCTACTGTTCATTCTCAAAGCCTCATTCCCCTACCCGTCTCTAGCCAACACCCCACCCCCAACAAAATAAAAGCTATGCTAGCTTCTTTGTCCCATTGGTCATATTTCCTGACCTATCTAAGATTCCAGGTCTTGACTCTGGCTGTTGCTGTAACTAAATGTAATTATAGTAATAAGTGTTAGGGAAAGCATTGTTCACGATATCATATCATCTTCACTGAAAATGTAAGAGGCATTTAAATGCAGGAGGAACGACAGTTTTGCAGAGAGGAATCCTTTCCTCATAACAATTGCTCTTTTTAAAATATTTTTGAATCAGTCAAAATGTGCTGTACTAGTAATGTGCCAAGGAAAGGCGTTTAGCAATTTCTTTCCTTAAACTTTTCTGTGAAGAAGGAGTGAAGAGAATGTTGTTCTTTCAGTATTACTGGTTACTCAGGGTAAAGGCACTATTAAATGAAACAAAATTAGAGCCAGCTTGGAATAGTGCAACATTTTTCTAACTTTGCAACACTAAGAGGCATGGACTTCAATTCCCAGAATTCCCCAGCCAGTAGAGAAACCAGGAGTCTGTGAGTTCTAGTTCTCTCTTAATTATGAAATCTGGGCTGAGAGACTTTGGGCTAGTCAGTTTTTGACTGCTTAACTTATCTAATAAGTCTGTTGTCAAGAGTCAAATAGAAGGTGGGAGCATTAGATATATACATCACCCTGATTTTATAAAAAAATTAAGTCAGGATAAAAATCTTAGAATTTAGTTTTGGTATATTTCTTCCAGTCAGCCAGAGAGAACCCTAACTGGTTCACTTCAAGAGAGATAAAACTGTTGCACATCAGGTTCAAATTGCTCATAGGTTTTGGAAACCAAAAAAGTAACATAGTCCCCATGCAAAAGCATCCGGATGCTGTTAAGATTTACCACAATATTCATATTTAAGATTTATATTTATTTATTTACTCAATTTACCCCCTGACTCCCAATATTTCTGAGCAATTCTCACAAAAACAGGAGAATCGTGCAACAATAAATGAAAATGCAGAAAGCAAAGATGGCAAAACTGAGCCCCAAGAAAAAAAACATCCCCATTGCTGAAGAGTCAATATCCATCCTATTCAAAGGCCTGAGCAAAGAGCCAGATCTTCACGGCCTTCTGCAATGCCAATGAAGGTGGGAGCCACCAGCATATCAGTGGAAACCTCATTCCAGAGAGCAAGTGCAAATAGCTTCTGTGGCTAAACTTCTTCCATTAGATGAAATGTAGTCTTCAAATATACATAATTTAAAAATATAGATTAAAAATTATGTTTCAGATGAATGTGTTTAAGAAATTGGAAGGGCTGGAAACTCTTCAGCTAAACAGGTAGGTTCAAACATGACCACTGTTTTTATAGTTGAAATAAGGAAGCCAGGAAAAAGGAATCAAAGGGCCCATGGCATTTTCACCAAGAAAAAAATCCTCAGATGATACCAATGGACCATTCTACCATATATAACTTCCACTTTAGAGGAATTTTCATAGGATCTCAGTAAGTTAAGAAAAAGTTAATTCCCCACCTTGCCAGCTTTGATTTCATCAGTTGTGATCCCTTTCCTGTACATTTTCAACAAACTGCAAATTAGATCCATATGATTTGTGGCCCTCTATAGAGCCAAACAAAAACTAGATTTGCCTGGAAGCTAGTTTGACATACAGCACCACCTTGTGGTACCTAAGTAAAGTTATATCAGTCTTAAACACTGGGATTTTCACCTGCTTTGCATTGGCACTGAAATGATTTGTTGTTATTCATTCATTCTCAAAGTGGAGAGAAAGTTTTTTCTACAGTGTAAGCCAGGGGTTGCACAAAAAAGGACCGTGAACATTAGAGCTTTGCCCTGTTTCAGTAAAGGCATATTGTAAGTATCTGCTCTCTGAATTGTTGATTGATCATATTTAGAGATCACCCATCTCCCTCATAGACTCACTTACCAACTCAGTTTGCTAATCTGCTTGCCTTGCCCTAAAACTAAAAGATTAGTAGCACAGGTTCATTCTCCAACTGCAGTACTTTGTCAACAGTCAAAGTCATGAGTCACTCAAGGAAGCAGCTGAGTTTCTTTTGAAGTTGAAAGGCAAACTCATGAATGTTCACCATCCAGTTGTGGAGACAACTAAATCTAACATTTATTGATTTTCACTATTCAACTATTACCTAATGACAAAAACTCTTGAGATGATCACAAAAAAGTATTGGTCAAGATACAGCACATACATAAAGCAGGAGCTACAGCAAAATATAATTTGAATAGCAGATGATGCTACCATTTGGGTGACAATAAACTGGACAACCCTTAGGTGCAGAAGACTCTAAATCTTTGCTTTATCTAAGAGGGATTATATCAGTGACAGAAGAGCTTTATTTTTAGAATCCTGGAGGAAATTAATATATAGAAATGTAATAAAGTCACCTTGCAGAGGATTCACTTCAAAATTATAGAATACTATAGTTTAGATAGTATAGCTCAGGAACCACTCATACCTCATAGGTCTTGATGGTACTAAATCCAGAGCAAGAGAATAGTCTGCTCATCTTACCCTTGAGATGATTTAATCATCATCTCCTCTTCCCAGGAACTGTAAATTGGGAAAGTGTGATAGGCATCTCTGTAGTGTTATATTGGTCTATAAAAAAACCCCAACTAACAATGTGCAAGTTGTACATAACCAGATCATTGCTTTATTATATGGTTCAGAGTGTCATGCAAACCCAGAAAATTGAGTAACCAATTATTAAACTAATCATGGACTAAATAAAAGAGAATAACCAAGACTGATATCATCCTATCATTTTTCGGATTCTTTGAGATAATACATACTGATATAACCTGAACCTTTAGGGAGACTTACAGTAATCTAATTTTATTCGGACACAGAGAGCTGTTGATTGAGTAGCAATGGGACTAGTAGAATATAGCTTCAAAGCACTGGAGAAAACACACACAAATATACAAACAGATGAATTTGTTTTTCAAAATCGAGGCTCATTAACTTTAGTCAACAGGATGCTTAACAATGCAGAGAAAACTAAAATGGAATAAATGTGAATTCTAATTAACATATTTTATTATATGAGATAGATACAAAAATGGGTGGGGGATCCCCTTTTGGGTGTTTTTACATCTCAAAACTGAATATTCACTAAGAATGAATAACAAACTTCAAGGAAAAACAAAGTCCAGTTGCATATATATATATAAATGTTAAAAATATGAAAATTCTTGAACTCTGGGATAGATAAAACCAGCTGTTTATTGTTAAAAGCAACAGAGGCACAAAAACAATAAAAAACAAGCATTCATAAAAACAAATATCTACTGCCTTAGCTTTCCCTGGTCCTCTTCTAAGGCAGTAGATATTTGTTTTTATGAACGCTTGTTTTTTATTCTTTTTGTGCCTCTGTTGCTTTTAACAATAAACAGCTGGTTTTATCTATCCCAGAGTTCAAGAATTTTCATATTTTTAACGTAAACATGTCTGGGATTCGCATTTTTAAAAGTATTAGGGATATATATGTATATATATATATACATGTATGCACACATACACACACATATACATACAGAAAACATAATTTATTTTGAATGTTACAAAGTTTTTAAAATAATCATACACAATAGACACAATAATCTTCCTTAAAATATACTCTGAATAACTACAAATGTACAAAAATTGTGTTAAGTCCATATTTACAGTAAATCAATTGATAGTGACTAATTTGATCAATTGATTATTAGTGAAAAATATATCCTAAAATTGTATCCTTATATGATTTATACTTTATAAAAGATGCAGGATGAAATTGAATTTTGGGCTTGTTTTTTTTTTTTATATTTAAATTCAATCAAAGTTGGTAAATGCTGATAGGGGAAATTAATTTAATCTTGACATTTGTATTTAGCATTAAACAGAAGAAAATTGAGTGAATTTAAATATGAGCTCAACCGCTTCTTTAATTAGCATACTCACTGGTTTATCACATAATTGCAGAACCTTTGAAAACCCTAAGCCATAGGATAGACAATGGTACACACTAAAAATCTTCTTTCTTTTCAACTGGGAAAGTCATCCAATTTTAACTTACTATAATTTCATCTGTGTATACTACATTCTTCCTTAACATGTACAAGCCCTTTCCTCTTCTTTTTTCCTTTTCTGAACCTCAAATTTCTGTTATAAATGCAGGAGTGTCAATATGGTTCTTTGGATCCCAAGGCAAAATTTTTAGATGCTGAAAGAATTCAGATGTTGATCCTTCTACACCTCCATTGATGGCAACTACAGGAGAAAGGGAGGATCATGCTTCTTACTGCTATAGCAATCATTCTCTCCCTTTCTCATTCATCCTCCCCTTCTGCTTGATCTCCTGCACTCCTGCATTTATGTTTTAAGAAATAACTCTTTATCAGCCCATTGTCCTTGAAATGAAACAGATTTCAGTTTACATTTGCAGCCAGCACAGGAATGAAAATAAAGAAACTTGCACTTAAACGTAGTACAGAATTTAAGATTTAAATGAAGTTATAAATGAGACAGAAACTAGTCATTCTGAATATATTTTAAGCATAACAAAATTCAGAAAGTTAATATGTGCATGTGTTTTATTACACATTTATATTTATTCCATGCATTTATGCTACACCTCTAATTTCTATTGTTAAGACTGCAATACTAAAAGCAATCAGACAGGACTAAGTTCAGTAAGTTTCCTTCTAAATCAACAATTGTAAAATAGAAAAAATACAGTGAAATAAATGAGATTCCCTTATAAACCAAGAAAGAGAATGAAGTTCCATTCTATGCAAGACTACTCAGAAGCAAGACTTGATACAATTAAGTATGAGATCCCAGCTAGGCACTTCAGTGCTCTAGGTGCCTACTCTGAAGTTTAACAAAGCTTACTCCGAGCAAAATCTATTTGCAAACCACTCCAGATTAGCCTAAAAAGGGTTTTTGGTTTTTTTAATCTGGTAGCTGGTGTTTGTTTCTGGTGAGTTAATCATTCCACATAAATCTTGTGGGAAGACATAATAAGGGGAAAAAAATCATCTACTAAGGTTCATAGTAGAATGAACTTGTCAGGCTGCTGTCCTGTTGTAGATCACAGCCTTTTCGGTTTATGCAGTTTTGATAAGTAAGCCAGTCAGCTACATATAGGCATTCCTGTTCAGCTTTAGCAAATTGATTGTCAATATTTATATCTTTTCCTGAAAAGCAGGCCAGAGAGAGCTTTCGCAAAACCACAGACCCAAACTGATAGGTCAGCTTTCTTCGAATTTTAATTATTTCTCCTGTTCTCCCATAATTCCTCAGTGCTCTTGCCATTTTCTGGTAAGTCATGACTTTTCGGTTTCCTTTGCGTTCCCCCCACTGTTCTGCCAATTTCTCCTTGTTTTTGGAAACAAACTGGAAGACACCATTGGCTTTATCTATCCACTGGATACAGTTTGCCATGTCTGGATTATGAAGAGACTCAAGAATGTATTCAAACAGTCGCAGTCTTTTCCGACCTGCCCAGAAGAAAAAAGACAAGACTATAAATGGAATGAGTGTATAATGCGATTTGTTTTGGAATTTCAAAATGAATTAAATGAAACCTTAGCATGATTCAATATGAAAATTGAGACTGAGCAAATGGCTGAAGTTACTGTAAATTAGATGTCATTTTCTAGTTCACTGTATCACAGCTGGGTTCATATATGATGCTAAGCCTTAATGTGCTTTATTTGTTTCTGATTTAGTATGACATGTAAATTTAGTCACTGTGTTCTAATAAACCATGACTTTGAATTATATACACCTAAGACCATTATAGCTTGCTCAATAAACAATAACTTAAACAATTGATGGTTTAATACAAGCCATAAATCCATCCAGCAAAGCTATTATAGCACAGTATATGATTAAAAATAAAAAGTGGGTTCTCAAATGTATGTTTTTATTAGATATACAGTCGTGTTTTAAACTGATTGGAAGCATTTTGTACTGTTAGGAATGTCAAGTTTCCTTCTCGGTTCCAAAGTTCCCAAAATTCCTTGAAGACAAAATAATTGTTAACCTGGCACAATTGTCCACTGATGTAAACTGGAAACCTCTAAATATGTTAATACAGATTTCCTAGAGTTCCCATTGCTGGATATTCTGGAAGCAGCAAACCCAAAGCATTTGGGAAACTGAGTTGGGAACAACTGATCTGAAATTCAGAAGTGATGAGGCCAATCTCCTCTCTCTCTCTCTCTCTCTCTCTCTCTCTCTCTCTCTCTCTCTCTCTCCCTCCCTCCCTCCCTCCCTCCCTCCCTCTCTCTCTCTCTCTCTCTCTCTCTCTCTCTGTGAGTGTGTGTGTGAAATTTCCACAATGCAACACCACAGCATAAAAGGATGCTTAGAGCTGCAAATGCTGTTCCAATTCATGGATCTGATGGGATAGCAGATGTAGAAGGCATGCATTGCTCCAGTTGGTCCATTGGGTCTGCTATGAGGCATCTCCTTCCCTCTTCCCACCTGTGATTAAATCACATTTTTCTTGTCACTGTAATCTGAAGCCACAATGGGTAGATAATGCAGCCACTTTTAATTAAATGGTTGACCTAAAGAATGGCAGCTGCGAAGTCCTGAGTTCTGGTCCTTTCTGTGCTACAGAACATATAATGAGTGAAAGGGCAGCGGGGCGGGGGGGCAGAGTAGAATTGATCAGGTTCCCTCATTTACAGTAGGAAAGGAAGGAAGCTGGAGCATTGCAATGGAGCTCTGTATCTCTGCTTCTCTCCCAACAGGTTATAATGTTTCTTGTTTTTTGGTGTATGGTGGTGAGTGATGGGTGAACCCACTATTGCAATTAGTAAGCCATTTATTATTATTATTATTATTATTATTATTATTATTAATTAAATTTGTTTGCCACCCATCTCATTGCAAGGTGACTGGATGGCTACGTGACTCTGTGTAGCTTACTAACAACTAGGCATGATTTAGAGCGATATGTGAATGCATATACTGTATACATGAATAGGAAAAACTGTGATCTTCTAAACAATTAAAATTCTACATAATTATTCATATTTCTGACACATCTTAATTCTCAAATACGGCATGCAGACATGTAGTAGTATAAATTATAGGTCTGAAAACATTAATATATGTTCTCGATGCCACTGAATTCAGTGCAAAACAGAAAACTGTGGACTCTAAAATTTTCACAGGAATAGCTCAGAATCAAAATTACATACATGTGTAAATGAAGATTTTTACAAACCTCTGTTGCTTTTTTGATGAAGAGCTGTGGTATACATCTTTTCATTTTCTGGAATAGTTGGCAGGGTACAAAAGCTAGCTCCAGAATACAAGTCGGTGTCATTCTTGCAGAAGTGGGCAATCACAATGGGCAGAAACATAACATTTCAACAATTAACCAACCAACAGGGAAGAAATATGGTAAACATAGGCAGCCAGTAGAAGCCACAATGAATTCCGAATGCATCTTGACATCATCATTCAAAGTGACATCACCTATTCTCCTCTGTGGATGCTCCTGGTTAATAATTATCTATTTGTAGTCATTTGGGAGAAAGGTTACAGAGTAGAGTTTGGGTAGAACATTCTAGATCATGGGTGTCAAACTCGATCACATCATGTGACGTATCATGACATATCGTGACATTTTTTGCCTTTGCGGAGGTGGGTTAGGCATGGCCTGCGTGTGGTGCATCAGGCCGCAGGCCACCATTTTGATACCCCTGTTCTAGATCATGCATAAAAATAGAAATAAAATCAGAAAGATTGAGAAAGCAAGGGGAGGAATCAGGTTACTAACAAAAAATACTATATACCAGGGGTTCGCTGGCTGAGGAATTCTGGGAGTTGAAGTCCACAAGTCTTAAAGTTGCCAAGGTTGAGAACCCCTGCTATATACGAACCAGAATCCCTCAAGCAGGCTTCCAAGGGTTGGACATGACTGAATGGATAATATCATCATCGTATATGGTCAGATTGCTTGGGGATTATGGCTTCTCTCTTAATTTCTTCAAGTCTTCCCAAAATTATTTTTAATCATAATTCATAGGATTCAACTGTTTACAAGGTAATGTTGGTGGAAAGTAAGGACTAAAACTTGTTTCTACTCCCTTCGTGGTTCTATGTCTGGATCAGATTTTATGAGCAATCTTATAAGCACAGTATGATGAAGTACCCTTTTATTGATATCTAGATGAAATTTATTTTCAGGTGTTCAAGGATAAATTTGAACCTCCATTTAAGCAATAAATTAACATGACTTCTTAAGATAAGAGACTTTTATAATCCCTTAATTAGGATCATACTGAACTTTAGGTATATTAACAGAGCAGTAGCTTCTACAGAGTGCAGTAAGATTTATTATCAAGATAATTCACAAGGTTACACTCTTAGTAATTCTCCCCTTATCATCACTGATGATAAAACCCCCCATAAATTTCTAAATACAACACAGAGTGGCAATATTCTGTAAACTTAAGCTCTACTTAAGAAAAAAGATGTTGTCAAAACAATACCAAGCATAAATAAACAAATTAAATTAAATCAAATCAAATCAAATTAAATTATTAATAACTTGTACATTTTAATATTTCACTTACTGTTGTATTATTCTGGTTATATGTTGTTTCTTCAGTAAAAGGCTCAGACAAGTTATTCATATTTGTTTGGAAAAGATTGTGATGGCAAGTCAGATAGTTTTTATAATCTCCTAAGGGGAAAAAAATGGACTAGAATATGTGAGAAGGAAAAATGAAGCAAAGGAAAGACTGGAATCCTGTTTTAAGCCAAATTACAATTTTTCCTCAGTCACATGAGTGAAACACATCTGTGAGAAGCATTTTACCTATGTGGAAAATGTAGGGTTAACTTAAAGAAAATTCAAATCTGAGGATAGACAGATGTTCCTTGTCCAATACGTCATGATTAACTGCAGGTGGGATCCAGATATGAATTAATGTCTAATTTGCACAGAAGCAGGAAACATTATAGCATTAGGGTAGTTCCATTCTGTTTTAAAAGTGCAGTCTGCAAGCATCTTTTTTGTAATTCTGAGCCCTCTCATAGTGGTTGAGGTTTTAAAAAATTTGACTTTTTGACATATTTGGGGAACATGGGGGGATTATGGGGCAAAATGACAACTTATACAAACTGAAGCCTAGTACACTTCTTATACCCCTTGACACTCTGGACCCCAAACAATTGAATCCAGGCCCCATTCACATAATATAGGGCTATGTTCCTTGAGTCTATCTCTTTATTTATTAGATGTTTAAGACATCACAATCATGTGATACTGGGTAGTTTACAAGTCTAATGTCAATTACTGATTGACTGACTGATTAATTGATTATGTGCCATCAAGACTCTGAGTGACCACATAGATAGACCCTGCCCAGGATCCTGGCTAGATCTTCCAATAAAACATCCATTTCACTATAACCAGAGTTTTGTTTGGACCTGCTTGTGAGAGGTTAACATGGTCAGGTTGAGCCTGGTGGTAAACTGTTCTACCATGTATGGGCCATAACAGAGAAGCATCTTTTCCTTTCTGTAGCTGTCAGGCATGAAGAATCAGGATCACATGTATGTTCCAATTTAGAAGTTTTATTGCTCAAGCCTATATACAAGAATCTGGTCAATTAGCAGTCAGCACTAAATTGATGCTAGATACGAGTTAACAGAATTCAAGAAGGGCTGAACTTGGAAATTTGTGGACATGTAACAATTCTAGGCTGAGTTCTTTCTTGAGTCCGCCCCCAGATTCTGCCTGCTCTTCTCCTACAGTAGCCCTTTGAATCTCTTGCAGTGGGATACTTTTGATGTATAGAGTAAATGTCCCAAATCTTTAAATAGTGGATAATGCAAGGGCAAACATTCGACTCTGGCAAATGTTCATACCACTCTGGAGATTGTCTGCCTATCATAAGGATATTTTTATATCTCAGGGCTGAAGTGTATGCATGCTCTTTTTTATATATATAATCTATACCTGATTGTGGTAGCTTGCTGTAAATGGAGGCTATTATTATGTAATGGTTAAAGCATTAGGCTGAGAACCTTGGAGGAATGGTACAATAAAAAGACAACAAATTGATTAAAAAAAAGGATTCGCTGCATAATAGCTCCCTCTGTACCGCCTGTTTTGCCCTTAACATAATTTGTCAAATATGTTTATGCTGAATATATTAGATTTTTTAAAATTATAACCGTTATTTGCACAAACCTCTATAAATATCCATCCACATTCATTCATAAATGTAGAAACTAGTCACAGTAAAACAATGAATTGACCTTGTTGTTTTGTTTTTACCTGGCATATAATTATAGGTGCCATCAGAATGTTGCTGTAAGACCTCCAAGGCATCTTCAAGAGCTTGTCCAAATAGGTCTTGGCCTGTAAAACTCTGCAACCATAAAAATTGGTTTGCTTTGGTTTGCCTCTGGGCAGTGGAAAGGAAACAAAAACCAGGATAATTAAATGGAACACAGACTCAGGTATTTGAACCTTCATAAAGGGAAAATTTAGCCCCCCCCCCTTCCCTGAGTCATATCCAATTAAAGGAGTAATGTAATGTAATACTGTAATACAGTATAAATTAGCAATGTTGGTTCACCTGGTTTGGATGTCCCCTTGGTGAGTGAATAAAGGAATTCTGGGAGTTGCAGTCCCAAATAATCAGACTGAAAAAAATCAAACCATGTGACCACTAGACCGATATGACTAACCTTTTGGGGACCATCATTCTCTAAACTTATTTTTTGCCCAAATGATAAGAAACTTAAAACAGATATTTTTGTTTTGGCAGACTATGAATGAATGTCCTTTTAAAACTATCTCTTGTTCTATAACTAGTAGATACTTAGAGCTCATTCTCATATATATCCATTGAACAGTTGGCAGGAATATTTGGCTGCCAGGCTCATTAACACTGGCCCTGTTTTCTCTAATGGAGATTATCCTGATGGGTGCAGTGGGAACTGTCCTTGTTACCAAAAGAAACAGGGATTTTGCATTAATTTCACATAGCTCATAAAGATACAAAGTGCATGTTCCCCTAATGAGAAGGCATGAGGCCCCAGATTGGACTTCAAGTACATTGGCTACAAAAAATGAACAAAGGATAATGTTTGGAAAGCTGAAATATATCATAGATTTGACTAGTCATTTAATTATAGGACATCTTTTATCATTACAATCTGTCCTTATTCTTGCTTCATTTACTTGCCTATCTAGTCCAGTTATAAAACCAATTTGGTACATGCCATTAGGCAGATGTTACACATTTATTAGCTACTGTTGGATTTATATTCCATTTTTTTCTTTGGATCTTGAGATGATAGGTGTAGTATTCTCTCCTTCCATTTTCCGATAGTAACAGCCCTGTTTGGGCTGGGAAATAGTAAATTACTTTCCTAGGTCACCCACTGAGATTCTATGGGTGAAGGTAGATCTAAACCTGAGTTGTTCTGGTCCTCACCCATAGTCCTTTATAAATGATTCTTAGATACAAATGAGTAATTGTCTTCAAACAAGACATTAAGAGTTTGTACTTACCATTTTAAAATCCCAAATTGAATCTTCAATCCTGTGTGAAATCAAACAACATAATTTATGAAAGCATGGCTTTATTTGACCAGTATTCTTTAATCCAGAAGTGATACATCATAAACTTAGACTGAGCTCTTAATATTAGGGGCACTTATTAAAAATTCAGGCTATGTACTTATTCATCAATGTACTTCCTGAAGCATTTTTTGGCAACATAACTAAATTACTTCTATTAAGAAGCTGGTGGTTCAAATTAGTCAAAACAGTAGAAAGAAGATCCAACAATTAGATAAGATTAATATTAGCAAATGCATAGTCTGTTAATTACTAATTTACTTTGTCACATTTTTAGTACTTGTGTTTGTGTCTATAGACCTTTATATTTAAAATAAAATGAAAATCTTTGCACTATAGAATTAAACATAAATGTTTAAAAAATATCCTGCATCATTTTAACATTGTGTTATTTTATTCCATCAATTTTTCAATTGATGCAGTGGTATAATGTCTGTCCATATTTGGATAGACATATGTGCTTTCTTTATTTAGTATCTGACCTTTGAAACAGGTAAAAAAAAACTCTTTAAGTTTTCAACCACATACTTACAAAGGCAAAAGAAAATAAAGACAAAATAAAAAGAGTATATGCAGAACCATATCCAAGAGATTCTGGAATAATCTACTTAAATTTATGAGAGAAAGGAATGAAATAATGAAATGTGAACAATGAAATAGCCCCAATCATTCAGTATTATTACAGCCTTTGGTTATAACCACTAAAATATATTTTTCTACAGTCTTGAATCAGTCTTGTACATACCTGTCAATTTCTTTCCATGCACTCACCTGGAGACTTCTAGAAGGAAGCCAAAGTACATCTGAAGCTAAAAGGACTGATTTTTAAGTAGCTTACTAAGGAATACCTGCTTTAATGGAACAAGAATTGCTAACAGCCGCAGAAGTCAATCAGTAGAGGGGCTGTATTAAGTAGACAATTTTAGGGAAGTATTCCATTTGGGGATTTTTTTGCAAATAAAAGATGTGGTACATTACAGTCTTAGTTGATGTATATAGATTGCCTTTACATAGACAAAAGCAGTGAGAAAAAAGGAAGTTCCTTGATGTTACAGAGAAGACAACCATCTGGGTGAAATGGACACTTTTGTTAAAAACAAATGGAAATAACTGTTTTAAACTATGTAAAACTCCAAAGATGCTCCATCGCCGATTTTTAACAATATCATTGAGTGAGAAACTGTTGAAGTCAGTACATTGAAAGGTTTCAGGCAATCTCAAAAAGATTCAACAAACATACTAAGTTTTTACACATCACAATTGTTAATTTATAAACTAATCGTAATCTGTTTTACATGTATACACGTGCATCTACGTAATTAAAGTATCTCTTCTTCTCTGTCCCCACTATCTTCTCCCAGTTTGAATCCTACATCAATTTAGATATAGTAATGCATCTGATGAAGCGACCTTCAGCTCACAAAAAATTATGCCTTTTAATACAATTTGTTAGTCAGAGAAGATGCTACCAGATTCCTGATTGACTAAGTCAACTTTCCTTAAAGGGTGTAAAACTTTAAGGACAATCAAGGGCTTAGATTTAATCAGACAAAATATATGAACTGTAGACTGAACTATACTTTTGTTAACACTATGCTAAATTGTGGCTAAGAATCTATTAACTGAGTTCATATATAATGTCAAACCAGTTATCAGGAGTCCTCTCAGGGTTTGGATTACAGTTCCCAGAACTCCTTGCCAGGATTCTGGGCTAATGCAAATTGAAATCCTAAAACAACTGGAAAGCATCACATTGTTTACTTTGACATGAAGCATGATTTATAAATCCTGTGGATGGGTTTCCACAGAAATTAAGCTGATAAAGTTATTCTCATTGCACGATTAAAACTTGGGAAAACCTGCTACCTTGCTTTAGGAATGGTCCATTTCCCTACTCTTGACTGGAGGTGTCACCTATCAATAGGGAGACATTAAAATAGTAATTACAAGTGACTTGTCAATGCCTTAATGATGATTGAGTGACTCTACGGCAGTGGTTCTCAACCTTTTTAATGCCGCAACCCCCAACCGGTTGTAAGTCGAGGACTACTCAACTGGTCGTAAGTCGAGGACTACTCAACTGGTGCAGCACCATTTGCAGAATGGGACTTTTGGCGGGCTCAGCAGGGCAGAGACAGCCTGGACAATTCCTATTGGCTTTTGAATTCCTACTGGCTATTCAAGAGAGTAGCACAGCTAAGGAAAAGGGGGGAAAAATGGCGGACTGTGCTGTTTGGCGACTCCCGTGAAATGGTCGTTTGACCCCAAATGGGGTCCCGACCCACAGGTTGAGAACCACTGCTCTACGGCATGATAGAAGGCAGTTGTAGGGAAATGGCCAAGCCCAAGCCAATGGGAAGCATCCTGATGTCAACTCGTTTCAATACAGACAATAAGGAATACTTTAGTTTTTCCCATTCATAAAATTCAATTTTTTTCCAGAAAAAGGAAGAGGACTGGGGGGGGGGGAAACATATCAGTTTGGAAAGAAATAACTGTAACAGAGTCACCCGATCAAGGAAGTGGGTAGCATACAAATTTAATAAACAAATTAAATAATAAAATAAAGCAAGAGGGTTTTGTTTTGGTTGTTTTTTTTTTGCAACATGTTACCAGCTGTAGTAGAATTCTTTTTAATCATTATTAAAAAGGATAATGCTTCAAAAATCTATTGAACCAGGCTTTGGTCTTTTAAGCCTGAATAGAAATGCTTTCATGACATCAGTGTTTTTATCCTTAGCTTTCACATAGACAATTGACTCACACACACACACACACACACACACACACACACACACACACACACATGAAACCATGGCTGGTAATGTCTTCAGCCTTCAAAAGTAGATGTTAGGGTAGAATCAACAGAACTCATGATGGTCCTCAAATGATGTAGAATACTGGTGTGGACAAAGTCTGCAGTTATCTGATGATGTTGACAACTACTTTTTGCTGTAACAGATTTACATATTCTTACATATTCTTCAACATCATTTTTTATTTATATGGTGCTGATTAATCTCACATAGGTTCTATATACATCTATGGTAAATGGAAATATTGTTATATGGAAATGAGTCTCTATCCTTAAAAAAAAATAACTGTGCAAAGCAACTGGAAGAATAGTGAATAGTGAAGACAAACACTATTTTACACCTGCTGGTTAGATAATCAAAGTAAACATATCTCCTGAAATTTCATGTTGACATTTTGAAGACCTTAATACTGAAAACATATTGGTCAGAACTGATGCAAAAAGCAAATTCAATGAACAGTAACCTCTATAATAAGAAACAGGAGATGTCTAAGCCAAAATGCAGAAAGTTTCATTGAATTGAATTCTAATCTCCATGTAATATAAAGTTATTTTAACCATGGAGCACTAAAAGGGTTTTTCTTGCACCAGCCACAAAAATATGGAGCCTTTTTAATGAGCATCAGACATGTAGTAACTGAGGGGAATTCTTGTATGCAGGATATCCTTCTTAAAGGCTTACTTGTGGTTGGGGACTAAATCAGCAAATATTGTTATTAGTAAGAAGCAATCCATCCTACAAAGCATCTCCATCAGCAGTTTGGAAGGTTCCCCTAAATAATTTTGTAGTTCTGCAAACTGTGGCGGTTCCTATATATTTCTTCCATATGGATAATATTGCTTGGATAACAAAAAAATCCACATTTTAGGAATGTTTTAGTTTATGCACTGTGTTTAATGATAGTTTATTTTCACTGTAATTTGTTTTGCAGTATATGATAACCTGGTTTGTTCATAAAACCTGGTTTATAAACCAAAGTGAATGGGTTCACATTTTGTGGTCATTGACTATAATAAAAATTGTTTGTATAGGCTGTAAGCCAGAACCAAACATTAAAGCTTAGCATGATGTATGAACTCAGCCATTGTCCTGTATCATTTATGATGTGCACAAAGCTCTTTCTGTTAATGTTCAAGTAATCCTCATCTTATGACTACAGTTGAGCCCAAAATTTCTGTTGCTAAGTGGGACAGTTGTTAAGTAAGTTTTGTCCCATTTTATGACCTTTCTTGTCACAATTGTTAAATGAATCTGGCTTCTCCTTTGACTTTGCTTGACAGAAAGTCACAAAAGATGATCACATGACCCCAGGACATCGTAAATATTAATCAATTGCCAAGCATCTGATTTTTTATTATATGACCTTGGAGGTTCTGCAAGGGTCTTGTGTGAAAGCCAATCAGAAGTCATTTTTTTCAGAGCTGTTATAACTTTGAACAGTCACTAAACGAATTGTTGTAAGTGGAGGACTACCTGTCTTTTTCCTTTTAATAAGAAATTCTATTCTATGTAGAATTTGCATATGTGGATTGGCAAATGCAAATATATATCCAGCTATAATACAAATATATTTATGTGCGTATGTATACATAACATGCGCGCGCACACACACATATCAGTGTTGAGAGTTTAATCTAGGTAATCTTTCAAGGATTGTTTACCTACCTCTTATACTTAATTCAGACACCAAACTTGGAATTCTCTGGGTTAGATATAGAAGTCATAAATATTCAGGCTATCAGATTTGGGCTGAAAATCTCTGTACAGCCATCAGATGAAAGCAAAGGGATACTGAAATGTTTGAATACACACACAAATGAAAATACCGCCAATTCAATTTTACTTCTGCCATGCAAGTGATTATGATATTCATTTAATCTATTGTAACATTTTCCAGAGAAATGACCCTGTTAGTCTGCTCAGTAAAGACAACTGTAGCCTTTAAGAAGTATTATATTTATTATGGTGTTTATGACAAACATTATTTTCCCTACATATCTTGTTTATCTTCTAATTATGTAAACACTTTAAAACAATTATATATGTAAAGACAGAGGTTTAAAGTACAAATGGTTTGGACGTGATGGAGAAAGAAGAGTCTTTAAAAAGAAAAACGTATAAAGAAGTATAGTGTCTTTGTCAGTAGCTACAGTACAATAGCTTTAACTGTATCCTTTTCTTTTTCTTATCTCATATCTTTATTTGGCTTACCATTTTCTATTCCATTTTTGTGTTTTACATAGGGTTGTTTATTCCAAAAAGAATAGCATGATGGGTATGCATTTATGTATCTATGCAATCCCCTGGATTATTAACTGAGATGTATTGAAAAATTACTCTTGAAAATGTAACTTCCTTTATATAGATATATATAAATTTTTAAAACAGTTAATGTCTCTGTTTCTCTTTCCCTATCACCTTTTTCATTCATGTTCCATATATGTCTCTGTTTAAAAATATAGCAAATCTGAAGGCAAAATTGAAATTTATCTCTATGTTCTGTTTTGTATAATACTTTGAGTCTTTATAGGACTGCTTTATAGGACTGCTATCGCACCATTGCACTCATTTCACATGCTAGTAAAGTTATGCTTAAAATCCTACAAGCTAGACTCCAGCAGTATGTGGATCGAGAACTACCAGAAGTACAGGCAGGATTTCGAAGAGGCAGAGGAACTAGAGATCAAATTGCCAACATACGCTGGATCATGGAGAAAGCTAGGGAGTTCCAGAAAAACATCTACTTCTGCTTCATTGACTATGAGCCTTTGATTGTGTGGATCACAACAAATTGTGGCAAGTTCTTAAAAAGATGGGAATACCAGACCATCTTATTTGTCTCTTGAGAAACCTATATGCGGGTCAAGAAGCAACAGTGAGAACTGGACACGGAACTACTGATTGGTTCAAAATTGGAAAAGGAGTCCGGCAAGGCTGTATACTGTCGCCCTGCCTATTTAACTTATATGCAGAGCACATCATGAGAAAGGCAGGGCTAGATGAATCAAAAGTTGGAATTAAGATTGCCGGGAGAAATATCAACAACCTAAGATATGCAGATGATACCACTCTAATGGCAGAAAG